CCTACTTTTCCTCACTTGCTCACTTCGTGACTTTGCTTGTACTGTGATCTATATACTTGTACCTGCATGCTTACACTTGCTAGGTTGTGATCACTATACTACTTGTTCCTATTTATATAACTCTGCATGTGAACTGGCCTTGTGGCCATTTGCTTGTGCTCAGAGTGTGTGGTGACTTTGTGATCCACCCTGAGCTTGCTTTGCTTTTCTTGTCTGGTCTTGTGACCCCTTGTTCTCCCCCACTTTGCCTATGGGGGTGTGTCAAACTGTTATGTTCTGTGTTGTGTAGGCTGTATTGGGGTAGCCTATATGGGGTACAACCCAATTAGGGTTAGTACTTGTATCACTTTCTTACTCAATGCAATCATTCCTGCTCATTAGATTCTGACACGATCGGCACGTGACCGACGTGGCACTTGCGCAATGTGCGTGATGGTGTACAACGTGCTCAACTGTCTATCTGCATCTGGAAAGTAGGTGCGTGCACGTGCGCTATAGACATCTGCGGTTGCAATGCTGACAAGCTGCCGTAGTGCAGCGCTGGCATGTCAACGACTTGCTATGTTGGCAAGCCGCCTCCCATCTGCGTTGGCACGCCATCGAATTGCCGCGTTGGCAAGCCGCCTCTGTGCTGCGTTGGAGGTCGACCTGCTTGTCTGCTAGGCTTGTTAGGTCCCTGATCTAGTTATTGTTGCCAATTCCATTTGCATCAATGTTCTCCGATTGTTTTTGTGAAACTCTTGCTCTTTTGCCTTGTGAACACACAAGTGTTAGGGAATACAAGGAACCATAGTCCAGCACCCAGTGTAGAGTGACTCTCCGCATGGTGGGGGGAGCACGGACAGCCCCTTAGATTACCTTCAGATTAGTAGCCAACTTATCACACACCTAAGTTATTGTTACCCTGGCAGCCCAAGTAGACCATGGTGCCCACCTCCAGAGAAGCTAGAGGCATGGAGGAGACCTTGGGGGCACAAGAGTGCTCGACGACGCCACACGGCTGGCGTGACATCAACTCCCGCTATCAGGAATCTATACCTTCTGCTAGTATTGAATAAGCTGAAATCATATGTAGCAAGCACAGCTACAGTAGTTTCGCTGTTGGATTACAGTGCCGGGTATGAGATCGCTGGATAAGATATGTAGGAGGTCAATCAGATCTAGATCTGGTCTTGACCTCCAATATCTTGTTTCCATGATTGAAATTGGTTGGGTTTTCTAGGTCATAAGCGGTGAATTTGGTGGCAAGGAAGAAAATTGTTGGAAACAAGTTTCTTAGGCAAATTCGTGGAATGGGGTGGGCTATGAAAAACGGTTTCAACAATTTGTGCTCCCATTTTTGCGCATAAAATCCTGCACTACCTACTAGATTTCTAGGTTTTTTTGCCTGCCCAGGCTTTTTGTCACCTGCCTGTCCGAGTGTCAAACCAGCATCATTTTTCTCAAAGGTTGTGCCCGCACTGCACCCGCCATCGCACAGGGACGGTTGGCCAGGGGCAGATGCATTCAGTGGGGGGAGGGGCGTGCATTGGGGCAGGATTCCTAACCCGATCCAACCTCGGGTCGGCCCACTGCAGTCGCCCACGCCTGCTGTCGCTCACTTCTGCTACTACTATTGCTACTGCTGCTGCTGCTGTAGTCCTACTGATGCACTGTGCTGCTGCCTCTTCTGCTTGCATGGCAGACTACCATCTGCTTATGCCACGTCCCAAAAACGTTTGGGCCGAACCCCCCCCCCCCCCCCCCCCCCCCCCTCAGGTTACCCACAGCTTACCCTGTGGCGAGATACCCCGTGGTCCTTGTCTAGGTGACCCGCGGGCCTCGACCACAATCACCTCCCGTGGTGACCCCGAGGTCACCCATTGGAGACCCCTCCCATCATGCGGGAGCGAATCACACGCGAGTCGCTTTTGAACTATGCTATACATCGCCAACATTAAAGAATTTTGCAAACAGTACGTGAACGACTACCTACAGTTTATTGGCGAACAAATTAGCGTTAAAAATAAATCAAAAATCTGATACAGCCACAACTACTTTTGATAAATACAAAAATTAATCTTGCTTAGTATAGTTTCGCAACAATGAATTCCACCATAAATGAGATTTGACAAATTCACATATCATTTTTTTATTTTGTGACTGGCTGTAGTGATTAGCACTTTGCACATTTTGATCTGCACATTTCATATACAACATTACGAACAACAATGTTACTAATTGGCCACTTTCTAGCATGCACCCTACATGCAGCATGTTGTAGACACTATAATACTCACTAAGGAAAGCTCCTGCACAAACCTCATTACCCAATGCATTATGTTGTTCTCCTACAGCATACAATAACAAACGAGATAGCAGGAACAAACGACATAGCAGGTTCTTACCTCACGAATACATGACAAAGCGTGACAAAATCGCCTTCCGTATTCTGCATAGAGTGGCGACATTCAGCCAAGGGGGGGGTGGGGTAAGAGTGAGGAATGAGTAGTGAGAACAGGAGAAATATTAGTGCACGAGGAAACATATAGAGGACCCGGATGGATTGGGCAACATTTCTTCACAGTCACGCCGCTGGTGTCTATTATGCACCTAATGCTCACGAGAAAAGAAGTCTTTCCAGATAGGAAGCTAATGCCTTGGTGATTTGACATCTGCAAAACCTTGCGGTGAAGGCAACGAATTGCAAGGAAACAAATCGTGTGATGGCGAGAAGGCATGAGGGAAACCTGGATGCCGACAAATAAAACGGCGGCAAAAAAAAAACATAGTGATGCCATGAAGCAAGCGGAATGAGTAACGCTCATCCTGAAACCCCATCGTACAGCATTTCAACTCACCTTACGACGAGCGCCAATTCTTAGGTCGATACGCGTAGACCTTGAGAAGATCATGCATCACTCACGTGTTCGATAATCTGCCATGAAGATACGATCGTGAACTACGATAGATTAGATGCAAGTCACTGAAACAGCGGCAACATCTAAAATACTATGACATCGCTAGTAGAAAGGGGAAGGAACCTATTTCCTAAATGTGTAAGCAAAACCTAACCACCATTAGAAGCTCATCATAGTTAATCGAGACAACCTGCTACTTGTTCAAGTAAGCAGCGTGGAGCTCTCATTGTAACTGCTCTACGTGAGTATCATGAGCTGAAAACGACATAAGGAATGACGAGTGAGAAACAGGATGGATGAGGATAAGTACTTGAAAGGTGCTTGGAGAGGAGAGGCAGTAGAAGGTGTTGTTGAAGAGCTCCGATTGGTTGGTGAACTAGATTGTGCCACGTAACCCAACCCATCACTGGAACTACCATATGTTGAACGATGTGATAGTAAACTCAGAATCGGAGAAGACACAATCGTAATTTGTCAATTCGACATGTTGAGAAACGAAGTGTACAGGAAAAGGCTTACTCACCATTCCCGTACGTGGCTGCCTTGGCAGATTCAGAGTAGAGACAAAATAGGCACGGCCATGAACTTTCCCGCCGAAGTTGGTTGGGGTAACCTCGGGGTACTCTCCCAAACCGTAAACCGATTCGATTGGTCGAATGTTCTGTTACCACGTTGGGCGCTAAGGTTGGCGGTTGTCGCTGACGTCGCCACCGTCTGGGGTAAGCTGTAGGTAACTATAGAGTGAACTTGTGGGTCTCCTTGTGAGGGTGACTCTGGGGTCACCATCATTCTCAAAGTGATTTTGGCTGAGCGAATTTTGGGATGCAGAAGGAGAAAGCTCAGCTGTCAATTGCATGCTTCCTGAGATACCATCTCCTTGTGCCAGAATCTGAGAACCAACGTCTGGCTTCATGCTTCACATGTGAGATCGGTCGCCATTGGCATGCCTAGGCATGGCTGGAAAGCATGTTTTTCCCTCATGACCTGCCTCTCCTGCTCCCTCCCACCCCCCAGGTGTGGGCTGGATAGCAGGGTGCAGGGGAACACATGTATCACGCTGATTCTTGCCTAGTCACCTTCTGCCCCTGTCACCTTCTCCCTGTCACCTTCTCCCTGTCACCTCATCCTTGTCACCTTCTTCCTGTCACCTTCTCCCTGTCACCTTCTACCTGTCACCTTCTCCCTGTCCCCTTCTCCCTGTCCCCTTCTCCCTGTCACCTTCTCCCTGTCACCTTCTCCCTGTCACCTTTTGCCCATGTCCCTTTCTCCCTGTCACCTTCTTCCTGTGACCTTCTGCCCCTGTCACCTTCTCCCTGTCACTATCTCTCCTTTTCCCCACCTCTCCCCACTCCCCTCTCAGGTTCGGGCTGGACAGCAGGGCGTTGGGCCACACCAAGTTGGCACGATCCTGCACACACTGCAAACTCTTTGCTCAGATTGGGGCACCTGCTGCGTTTCCAGTGCACTCGCGGCATGACTTCCTCGCCCAACCGTCGCATTGAGCATTACACGACCTAAACAAAAGCTTCAGATTTTGCGGGTCCTAAGCTTGGTGTCTTCTGTACGGGTCTTTAGACTCGACGAGAGCTGAGTTTTGAAACGCGCACATGTTTCACACTAGCTATGTTTTGCAAGTGCTTATGTAAGCAAAATAAAAGGTTCATGTAACAAGCCTGTAGAAAGAATGGAAGTTCACTAGAAAACACATAACATCAAAGGTGCTCTAAAAGTCTATATGTCTTAACAATCTTGTATTGTGTCGTACTCCTGACACACATACACACACACATACACACACACACACACACACACACACACACACACACACATCAGTTGCCCCATCAGTAAGAAATTTGCACATCAGCATTTGATAGTATGATCTCTTTTCGTTTTATTTCGCCTAACTCGTTGCAGCACACACTCACATTGGAGTGACGTTTTTCCCATATGGAGGTGCATCATCACCCTCTACAATTATGAGGCAGCTTAGAGATTATTCACACTCTTGTAAGGGCACAGACCCATATAGTGAGTGTCATAAAGGCGAAACACCCATTTATTCACAGCTCAGACCACGTCTTATAAAGGTGAATCATCCTGTTATCCTGAGGCCTGCTCTCCAATCTTCATAATTTCCATGTCGAGGCTTGCGACACCGGCGACAACATCCTTCATCTCCTGCACCTGCGCATCCACCTTGACTGCAGCACACAGCACCTCTTTCCCCCCCACTGCCTCGCGAATGGCCTGCAGCTCGTTGGCAACCTGCACCATGCTTGGGCGGTCTGCAGTGCGCTCTCCAGTGCAGGCGAGGGAGATCTGAGCCACTCGCAGCACAGCTTCAGCAGGGGCGTCCATGGTGGGGTCCATGAGGCTCCCCACGTCATTCTTGGACAGGCACTCCGCCACCTGAGGGGGTTGAGAAGATTGAGGGTGGGAGAAGGTGGAGAGTTTGGAGAGGGTGGAGGGTTTGCAGGGTGTGGAGGGAGTGTTGAAAGGTGGAGCAGGTGGAGGGATTGGGAGGGTACATATATGGTATTCAAGAAGCTGGAAATATTTCCTTTGGAGAATATGCTATTTGAGTCTTTGGAAGTACCGGCAAGTGGTGCTCACCCACAGAGTGATCTGACGTCCCTGTGAGGACCACTAGTGTAAAATGGACGAGGAAAGAAAGGAAGTACCACAACCACACATGTGGTAGTGGCGGAAGGTGGTTTCATGGGTTGAGGTAATTACATACGCGGTGGTCCCATGGGATAAGCACTTACCCACGGAGTTATCTTCCAGCTCTCTCCAGCAGTTTCCGAGATTGGCTCTCGTCCCGTGAGGACCACCAACATGAGCACTCCAAAGCTGAAAAAAAAGCGGACATGTTCAAAGGCACAGAATGTTCAGGGCACAAGATGGCAGAGGAAGAGAAGAGGGGAGAGGCACATGCTTTTCAGATAAGTTTTATTTCCTGACCGCAACATGTACAGGTCCATATATCACACACACATAAGATTTGGGGCGGGTCTTATTGGGTGCTGACTCCTACTGAATACTATGCACTTCCAGCAAGGACTTTTGTACGCATCACTGCTTCACATGTACACCTCACTGGCCCACCTGCACACATCGCTGACAGCGGTGCCTTGGAGTAGACTGGATCCCCATAGGGCCTTTGCAATTATCACCTCTACACCTCACTGGCCCACCTGCACACATCGCTGGCAGCGGTGCCTTGGAGTGGACTGGATCCCCATAGGGCCTTTGCAATGATCACCTCTACACCTCACTGGCCCACCTGCACACATCGCTGGCAGCGGTGCCTTGGAGTAGACTGGATCCCCATAGGGCCTTTGCAATGATCACCTCTACACCTCACTGGCCCACCTGTACACATCACTGCCCCACCTGTACACATCGCTGGCTGCAGTGGCCTTGGACGTGATGGAGTAGACCGGATCCACATAGCCCGGTGTGCCCATGATGCGCGTTGTGCCCACAGTTGTGCCCTCCCCCATCCTCAGCAGACCAAAGTCGGCAATCTTCGCCTCGTGACGGCATTGTAGCATAAGGAATTAATCACTCAGTGAGAACTCTGGTCGCTTGTGGTGCCATCCACAAAAGAGCATGAAATGTAAGTAAAAGGGTTTGTGAGTGGGCTGAGTAAATGGTTGCTGTGAGAAACGATATATGAAGTTGAAAGACATTCCAGCCATAGTTGGTGTAGTGTTGTGCCAATGACCCCTTGTTCAAACTTATATATATATGTATATGTATATATATATATATCATCTTGACTAGACAGGATCCACTACGACGATCAAGCTTGCCTGCATGCTGTTGGTGATGAGGACGTTGGCAGGCTTGATGTCGCGTTGCACGATGCCAAAGCCGTGGAGGTATTCGAAGCCCCGTGCCAAGCCGATGAGAATGTCCAGCCGCTACTTCAGACTCAGAGGGCAGGATGCCTCTGCAAGAAACACGTGGCAGGGGATGAGTGGAAAAGGATGAATGGTAAAGGACGAATGGCACAGCATATGATTGGCACAACATATAATGGCACAGCATATGATTGGCACAACATATAATGGCACAGCATATGATTGGCACAACATATAATGGCACAGCATATGATTGGCACAGCATATGATTGGCACAGCATACGATTGGCACAGCATGAGTGGCAGAGGATGAATTGCAGAGGATGAATGACAGGGGACGAGTGGCAGCAGACAAGTGGCAGAGGATGTGTAGAGGATGAGTGATAGAGGAAGGGTGGTAGAGGATGGGTGGTAAAGCGTGAGTGGCAGAGCATGAATGACAAAGCACAGGTTGCCTCTGCAAGGATGTGCAGCATAAGTGGCACATCATATAAATGCACGGCATATTTATGACACAACATCTGCGCGGCACAGCACGCCATCTGCGTGGCACAGCAAAAAACACGCTGGAGGAGTATCACGCATACTTGGACCAATCCATCTGTGAAGGTCGCCATTGGGCACATATTCATAGATCAGGACTTGCTCTGGCCGAGTCCTCAAGTCTCCTCCGATCGCAAATCCAAGGAGCTTCACAATGTTGGGATGGTTCTTGTCGGCCATCTGCTGGATCTGATCCACACAGCCAGAGGAAAAGAAACAAATATGATCAGGGATGACAGAACAAATGGAGAAGCAACCAAGGGAATGTCCTAATTTACCAGCATTGAAGACACGATCTATAATTAGTCGAACAGCAAAAGACATCATGGCAATGTAACATTTCAATAGAGCATATAAATCTTAGACGTGGGATTGAAAATGATGTCACTGACACATGCCATCTTATCACGGCTCACCATGGTTCACCATGGCTCACTGACAAAACATACCACTGCAATAAAATTTGCAACCTTCACATGTGCAGCTCACTCACTGACCTCTTTTTGAAAGTCCACGTCGATCAGCTTGGCGCGCTTGACAGCCCACATGGTAATGCCATCGCGGGGAGACACACCCTTGTACACATCGCCAAAGGCACCCGAGCCCAGCTGGTTGTCCTCGGACCAGACGTTGGTGGCCTTGAGGACTTCTGCTAGTGAGAATTCGGTGCAGTGCGAGGATGCCAGGCTGCTCCCCGAGCCTGCTCGTGGGGTCATATGTGAAAGGAGGTGCATGGGTGCAGGGGAAAATGCCTGGGCACGAGTTGAGTGGAGTCGAGTCAGGTCGAGTTCGGCCGGCCTCAGTCGAATCATGTGACGAGTCGAGTCCCATGACTTGGCCCAACATTCTAGGGAATTGATTTGCGGCGTGCCAATCAGTTCACGGGATATTCTACGCCGAGCCTCTACGAATCTTTGCAGCTCCAAAACCTGGAAACTGAGATTTAGACCATCTACTGCCTCAACACCTTGTGCCACTTAAGTTCCAGAGTTGTGTGGCCATGCATACAGGCCTGTACGCTGGGGATTGAAGTGAATGCGTGCACCAAGCCATGCTGTTAGTGGGGAGTCGATCTCACTCATTTCATGGCAAGAGATTTGACAGCTCGGTTTCGGCTGCTGGATTTTGTCGAGTCGAGCATGATTAGTCTTGCAGACTTGCATGCAGATGTCTAAGTTCATGCAATGGAGAACTAGCTCCTCACTTATCGCCATGGTTGAAACAAGACATGGTTTGGTTATTCAAAATGAACTCTTCTGGTTGCTTTGTCTCCCTAGCTTGTGGTTTAAGCTTGATTTAGTGTGTGAAGTAAAGCAGAGCTGCACCAGGAAGTAGGAGAATGACCATAGCGGCAACAACAATGCCAATGATGGCGCCCAATGACACTGTACCCGCACCTCCTGCTGAGGAAGAGTTGCAGTGGGGACTGCATGAAGGTTATAACTAGAAGAGTTGTCAAGAGGGCGTTATAACGTGTGAGCAATAAACGTTCAGCCAAGCAGGCAAGTGCGTAAAAAACGATCAGAAGGGTGATGCTCCGCGGTAAGAGAGCCTAGATTGATCGTAATTTTGCATGATCTCAATGCGAGAAAACTCTACACCCCTCTTATTGTCCAAAGTAGGTGAGGTGCTTTTTAATAATTCGGGCAAGCATTGTGTCATGCCTTGTCCCATGCCTTGTGCCCATGCATTCTGCCATGTCTTGTGCCATGCATTGCGCCATGCGTTGTGCCATGGCTTGTGCCATGCATTGTGCAACGCCTTGTCCCTTGACTTGTGCCCATGCATTGTGCCATGCGCTGTGTGTGTGTCATGTCTTGTGCCATGCATTGTCCCATGCTCTGTGCCATGCCTTGTGCTCATGCCTTGTGCTCATGCCTTGTGCTCATGCCTTGTGTTCATGCCTTGTGCTCATGCCTTGTGCCATGCCTTGTGCCATGCCTTGTGCCATGTCTTGTGCCATGCATTGACATGCCTTGTCTGTGCATTGCCTTGTCTTTTGCCATGCCTTGCCACGCGTTGCTTGCTGTACTCTGAAATGCCTTCCTCCATGCATCGAGTTTCGACTCTTGAGACCGTACTTTGCTGATGTTTATTTACTTGCCTGCAGATTGGTGGCAAGTCTTGCAGAAGGATTGACATGTGCCACAAAAGGCTGCGTTGGGAGATTGTGTTGTGCCACAGGCGGAGTAGTCAGGTGGGCATACGAGGTTGGTGCCAGAGACGTCACTGCAGTGGAAACGGGAAATGGAAAGGCGGAACTCATGGGCACAACTGCACGTACACTTTTTTGTAAGCTGCGAAAAGCTACAAGACTCTACTAATCCTGCAAGAGTGCTCTTTATGGCCCACCCATGTCAAGTATATATCACACTGCTTACTTTTTTTTTTACAGCTTTGGTACTTGCTGAAGCCTACTCACGGGTTCAGTTCCAGTTAAGTATCTTCTCAAACATACTTAGAAGTTTATTCCAGATTGGTACTTGCTCAAGCATACTCACAAGTTCGGTTCCGTTCTGGCACTTTCTCAAGCCCACTTGCTCAGCCTATTACAAGATCAGTTTGGCTTTGGTACTTGCTCATAGGTCGTCCCAGAATGGTGTTGGCAAACCACTGGGGAACAACTACTGAGAGAAGATGCATGGTGTTGGCAAACCACTGAACTGGTCACAGGTCGTCCCAGAATGCTTACGAACGGCAACTGGGGTGTGGAGGGGCCACAAAGCGCTAATGGAAGTGAGTTGATAGATCTAGATCTGTTTGTAGTCATTAGCTGATCACGCTCTCAGAATTCTTTGAAACAGACTGTAGAGGGCCAAACAACAACGTACAGATAGTTGAGGCGATCAAGCAATTCAAAGTCACTGAATATGTTGCCACTGAGGGAATTGGATGCGAGATCCCTGTGCATTGTGTGTTGTGGGAATTGGATGAGAAAAAGAAGAGATGAGTATAGCAGGCATGGCGGCCCACGGGGGTTCGATGGGTCGAGATCCCATCAGGTGGAGAGCACTGTTGGGAGCACGGAGGTGAACAAGCAGCCTTCGCTGGAAGTAGGGAGGGTGGGGGGTGGAGGGGAATGTAAGTAGTTGGGGAAACGTAGTTTAGGTTGTGGCATGAGGGAACGCAAGGAATTGGGATGGTCTTTGAAAGAAGAATGGAAAAGGGCACATGGATGGGCGCACAGCACACGAGCTATGCGAGTGGGAAATGAAGAGCAAAATGATGTGGGAGAAGACAAAATTCCACTTCACAAACTCCTGCAAGTCTGCGAGCTTTCAAATGCAGTGCACCGAAACTGTGGGAGCGTTTTGAATTAGAGGCAAACGAACTACTCCATAGTATATGACCGCAATCCATCAGCATTGGTTCCACCAACCAACTTGAAGTAAATTGGAATAGCTAGGTCCGTCAAGGGAGTGGTCATGAGCCTATTGTAAATACATGGCTATCCTAGCTCATGACGAGCCTACTTGGCTCGGACGAGCCAAGCCAACCTGGCAAGAATCTAGTTCTGTGACGGCCAAAGGTCGGCCATTGCTCAACCCAAAAGCCTCGGGCCAGCCCGACCAACAATGCAGGCTGGACAAGACCAGCATGCGGCACTAGTTTTGCTCATCCCTAGCCTAGGAGTGGAGGACAGGAGAAGGAGATGCAGGACATTCAGCCTGGATTGGCTGTCGAGATGCTTCATACAGATAAGTGAGCCAAGAAAGCATGGAGATGCCATTGGGAATCGAACCCGCCAAGATGTTGTTCGACAGAGACCTGTGTGTGTGGGTTGGGGTAGAAGTGAGGAGATGAGATTAGAGGCACACAAGTGTCAGATTTATATGACATATTTGCTGTAGGCCATAGTGGGGTAGCACATATGGGGTATAGGGTTTCTAGGGTTGTATTTGTACCCAATCTTTCCTTAGTCATTCCACTCCTGTTTACTTGTTTCACATGGTATAGAGCGGGTCCTTCCTAAGGACCGTTTTTTTTTGGGCCCACCGAAGCGCGCCCCGAGGCGCGCATTTTTTTTAGCGACCCCTCGGGTCGCCATTTCCCTCGCGGCCCCGCTGTCCCTCAGACGCGGCCCCGCCACCCCTCCTGATCGCGGCCCCGCCGCCTGCTTGACGCGGCCCCGCCGCCTCCACTGACGCGGCCCCGCCGCCGGCTCTGACGCGGCCCTGCCGCCCGCTACGTCGCGGCCCCGCCGCCTGCTTGACGCGGCCCCGCCGCCTCCACTGACGCGGCCCCGCCGCCGGCTCTGACGCGGCCCTGCCGGCCCGCCGCTGCACCTGCCGGCCCGCCACTGCACCCTACGGCCCGCCGCTGCACCCTACGGCCCGCCGCCTCACCTGACGGCCCCGCCGCTACACCTGCCGGCCAGCTGCTGCACCTGCCGGCCCGCCGCTGCACCCTACGGCCCGCCACTGCACCCAGCGGCCCGCCGCTTCACCTGACGGCCCCGCCGCTGCACCTACCGGCCCGCCGCTGCACCCTACGGCCCCGCCGCTGCACCTGCCGGCCCGCCGCTGCACCCTACGGCCCCGCCGCTTCACCTGACGGCCCCGCCGCTGCACCTGCCGGCCCGCCACTGCACCCTACGGCCCGCCGCTGCACCCTACGGCCCGCCGCCTCACCTGCCGGCCCGCCGCTGCACCTGCCGGCTCGACCCGCCATTGCACCTGCCGGCCCGCCGCTGCACCTGACGGCCCCGCCCCTGCATCTCCCGGCCGAGCCGCCCCAGCAGCAGAGCCGCCCCAGCAGCCGAGCCGCCCCAGCCGCCGAGCCGCCCCAACAGCCGAGCCGCCCCAGCAGCCGAGCCGCCCCAGCTGCAGTGCCGCCAGAGCCGCCCAAGCCGCTGAGTCGCCCGAGCCGCCCAGCTGTCGAGCCGCCCGAGCCGCCCGAGCCCTCCTTGCAGTGCCCTGTCTGGTGAGCACTGAGCCTTACTCTGCGCACTGCCCTCTCTCTACTGCTGTCATGGCTACCCCCAGTGTCCTCGCCTTTGACGCTCAGGGCAGAGCCATTGACTTTGACGTGTGGGTAGACGACCTACTGCTTTTCCTACAGTGCGACAGAGCTGACGGACTCTCTCTCTTTGATCTCACTTCTGGTGCCTCTCCCGCCCCTGCTGCTACTGAGGATGCCACTGTTCGCTCACAGTGGGCCACACGCGATGCTGCTGCACGTCTTGCTGTGCGTCGCCACCTCCCTCCCGCTGAGCGTGCGCACTTTGGGTCGTACAAGAGTGCTAAGACCTTGTACGACGCCGTTATCGCACGCTACTCCACCCCTGCCACTACTGCACTGAGCCGCCTCATGCTATCGTACCT